GATGTGGGCGATATGAGAAAGACCAAAGACTGGGGCGATGTTGAGTTGATAGTGCCTTAACCACTCGCCTCCCTCTCACCGCTCGCGCGGCGACCATTGGCGGGTGAGCAGTGTGCTGGGCTTCGGTTTAAAACCACGCGTGCGATGGCCGGGAATCGAACCCGGGTCAACTGCTTGGAAGGCAGCTATGCTCACCACTATACCACCATCGCTTGCAGTCGTCGCAAATGCTGCATATAACGGTCAACAGTACTTGGTTTTCCTCAAGAAAGGAAAGTGAGCCAGTAAGTGCCAGATGTAGTTATGACAGGCCGGTCTGTCGTCTGATGGTGTCGGAATCACCGCCCCATCGCATGGTTGTGTATGCATTTGCCGTGGATTTATGGATGGTGACAATGGATTGTCGCACGGTCCTTGATACTGCATCGCTCTCAGCAAGTCACTGTTTCGTCCCGAGTGTTGATCTTCACGTTTGTTGGGTTCAGTTCAAGGCCTGGCGCCAGGCGTGGGGATTGCCTCAGCTCTCTCGTTGAACACGCTGCTGACATCAGAGCCGGGCTCATAGTGCATTAGTACAGCACGGGCTTTGATGCTGAAATTGTCTACCGCATTAGGAGCGCGGTGCAGTTCTGACTGCCGATAAATGCCATCTTTACTGTTATGCTTATGGTTTGGCATCTCTGGTAGCAAAATGGTCTGCTTTGAGGCATCTGTTTTGGCCATTTCTCGTAACAACTTTTAGCCATGTCCATAAGAAATACGTTGGCATCACCACAAACGCTTCTGAACGGCGTCCCAAAATGACGTCACAAGACATCATTACCTTCCAATCACCTAAAGATCCGTCCTGGTATGCAAAACATGTATTGAATGTTCTTAAGGCAAAGGCCGTCTTCAACGTCTCGAGTGGGCGCGGAAATAACGTTTTGATATCACATGAAAGATAGGTCCTCAAATCCTGTCTCAAAAGACGTCTGGAGGGAAGCTAAAAAAAGAAAATGGCGTTATAACATCTTGTTAAATTCTAGTCATTGCGTCTTAAAATTCCTCACTTCAAGCGTTGCGTTATGGTAAAGTGCATGTTCCTCAATTGAAGGTATTCAAGCAGGCATCAGGCATAAAGAAACGTGCTGATAATTATTTGTACACTTTTGAATGGAAAAGACTGCCCAAGACAAGACAATTTCTTAGTCAAGCAGATATCCCCATCATTGCGTTATTGGCTACTTCATCGTACTACCCTCTTTTTATATATATGTATCTGTGAACGTGTCTCAACAATTCCAGGAGGACACAGCATCACTTACACGGCGGCGATGGGTGGGATGAAGCATGGATAGTGGTCAGGGATATGTGTGAGCAATTCGAAAACTGTCGTGCGCTGTTTATTCCGTGTTGTTGCATGGTGTATCCCCTAAAGTAGAGCAAACGACGCATAAGAGCTTGCGTCTGGTTTTTGAACACCGGTTAGTACATAGCAGCGATTGTAACGCCTTGGAATGGCGTCTGTGCCTATGCACAGTGTAGGGGGCTGCGAACACTTCTTATGGCCTTGAAAACAGTACATTATACTCTGTCAGTGCACAGCATCAGATGATGCAAGTTTATACCACAGGGCATACGGTCTACTGAGATGTGGTGGAACAGTAAAGTATCTGACATATCTTGGTGGACCAGCCATTTTAAATTATACTCTCTTCCTTCTCATTTGTATTTGAAAGGTGGGATAAGAGCACTTAAGGTCTACCTTGGTACAATCTAAATTTTATAGCCCAGGTACTTGGATCAATGCTTTCAAAAATGATGCTAGCCAAACAATGTTTTGCACGAGATGACACTGACATGATGTCCTAGGCATAATATGTATAGGGTTAAAAATAGGGAGAAATGGCTCACCGCGTATCACGGTTTTAGAATATATGCGTGTTAATGCCGACTCAACATTGTGGTAGGCGGGCTTTTGCGGGCTTGATACCTTGCTGGCCGGGCAAGCCGGGCTATGGGCAAATAGTTTGGAGAATGTTGCCGTTCCAGTGTGTGTATTGAGGATCGTGCAAGACATATATGGGTGAAACTTTTACAGAAACTCAACTTACGAAACGGGGCTAAAATGTAAGTTTCGAATGTCACAAGCACAAGTAAAAGGCTAAAGTGTGGTCACTGCTAATTTCGGCGTAGAGTATTGCTATCTGTGACAGTTGTGCATAATAGATTAACACAAATAGGCTGTCGATTACCAATCTTAGAGGCATTTGAAACTTGAAACCAACGTACCTGTGTGAACGTCAAAGGTCAATGTCCTTTGAACGTGACTTGAGACGTCGCACATGGTAACATCCTCACATGCTGTTGCTATATGAGGTCTAAATGCGTGCAAATTTGGAAGAAATTCTGAGGCGCCGGGCACAAATTCCTCAAATTTCTCTCACGTGACGGTGTGGCATGAATGTCGCCACCGTTACTTACCATTTTCTAGTCACAGCTCTGTAGCCTAGTCAATGACTGACATGCAGGCCATAAGACAGCAGCAGACCATGCAGTCAACGAAAAAAGATGCAAGCCCACTTCGAGAATTCCAAGACCTTTGTGTGTTGACCAGCCGGGCAAAAGACCTCGATGAGACGTGCGGCAAACCCCTTACCCAAGTTTTATCAGACACGACCGTCATTTCAAGTCGGGAAAACAACCGACAGCGGCGGTGCCTTACTCGCGTGTGCACGGTGGAAAGGGTCACTGTACACCAGATCGTGCGTCCCTGGTGTCCGTGGCTGGAGACACGCCAAACCCATCGCTCACACTCTCTATCCATACGTAATCCCACAAGCCGCGCCGACCGTTCAGCCGCCAGCCGTGGTTACAATGTGAGACACC